TATATATATATATATGTTTATACGCTGTGGTGTAAAAATACACACGCACGCAGACCGAGGGGGGGCGATAAAAAACAGTCCAGTCAGCGGGGCGTGGATGTACCTATCCCGAGGCGGACACTCGACGCGCGAGCAATCTCCCATCCGAAAAGAATCGGAAACGGATGTATAGGTACGCGTGAGTTTGGAGGAGGCATTTAAATAGCAAAAGCTGTAAACGGGTATACATATATGTATAAGCCCAACTGCTGCTGTACCATCACCATCACACTTGCACCATATACGTAGTTTCTTTCTTTCTTTCTTTCTCACTTGTTCCTCTGCACGGTATACCTATATACAATTTGCCTTGTTTGAAACAGCCTGTCTTGGTTTTTATCTCTCTCTCTCTCTGTCTACGGTTTTGCTGCTACCTCGAAAGGGTGTGTCCACCGCGAGATAAATTTTATTTGTCCGTTGCTTTTTTAAACTCCGGTGCGACTGCATCACCTGGGTTGGCCTTCGAATATTATTTTTATTTTTTATTTTTATTGTTGTTATCATGATTATTATCATCGTCGACGAGTCGTCGAGGCGAGAGAACAATGCACGCAAGGGAAATTATTAACGTATAAGAATATAATATGACTGGTTGCACGAAAAAATTGTCTATTGTTTAGAAAATCAATCAATACCACATACGTAATAACCTATTTGTTCCACCTAATGTGTCGAAAGACACTTATTGGACAATTGAATTATTACACACTACTATCTTCGACACTTATTGGATTACAAGATGATTATTGTAGACAAAATAAATCGTACGCGCGACGATCGGTCAAAAAATCAATTAAAATTAAACAAATACATTGGATTAAACGTGCTCTCGTTTTCTCTGTGAATGCATTTGAAGATCGCGGCCATCGGAAAAGAGGGCAAAACGCAAAACCCGAGATAGTGACCAAAACAGGAGAACGAGGCAGAGAGGGAGAAAAGACATCATCAGTCGAGAAGTACTATACATGTATATATCTCTATATCCGTCGTGGTGTGGTAATGGTGGTGGTGGTGTAATCAGCGAGCCACGCCCATCCGCGCCGCATCTCTTTCTCTCTCGCTCGGTGACCCGCCCACCGGAGAGCAATTACACCCCGACGACTTCACCCGCGTGACAACGGATATCTTGGATATATATACGTGTATTTGTAGGTATGTGTTTGGGAGCACTCTCCGGAGCTGTATGTGCGGCGGGGATGATGAACATTACCCCGAATTTCCTTCCTCTCGATTGTCGCCACCGCGACGCTTTTCCAACC